TATCCTCAAAGTCCAATTTTTGGAACAATCATTGTTCCAGAAGTCTTGACCACTATCATCACCGTAATCATTCCACAAATCCATCTAGCGATGTCAACAAAAAAACTGTTCAATATCAAAAAAATGAGCTGTCAAATGGTGCTGATCTACGGAACCACTTATTATATTAATAAACTGTATAGAAACAACTCTGTTAAGTATCAATGTTACTAAAATAAGCATTTTTATACTATATCTTTCATTTAGAAATACATTATTTATAAGAAAAAAAAAATCTGGCAACTAAGGAAAATCAAGTTAAAATAGAAAAAAAAATATTAACACTGCATTACCCGAATTGTTGACTGAATTGATGACAAGTTATGTACAGAATGAGCAAAAATCAGGTACTAGCGCAAAGAATGCTTCAATATTGGTTTGTTTTTCTTTTTGCCATTCCCATACAGTTTCACCAGTTGTTTCTTGTTTGCAAAATTGCAATCCCAAAATAACATAAATAGTATTTAACCCTCCTTCAGGAGGTAAGTGTCAACTATTTCAATTGCGCTAAAACCCTGAGAACTACAGAGAATTAAGAAAAAAAAACAAATCAAAAAAAAAAACCAACAATATTCCATTCAATAAATTACTCTGGAAAAAAAAAGAGAAGGACTTCAGAGCAATAATGTTAAGTGAAACTAGAAACATTAACAGTGTCTGATTCAGGCATTCTACCCAAAACTGAGAAAAGAATCAATGATGAATCAGACGGACATATAAAAATGCCATCGATACCTGCACGTAGACAGAAAAAAAAAAAAGAAAAAGAATTAAAAACATTTAACTGCCATATCTAAAACAAAACCACTACATAATTGGTTTAAAAAATTTAACGTTTTAAAAATTTAACGTTTACATACAAAATCTTGAAGAACTATAAAGTTTTTTAAAAATTAACACTAGAACAATTACTGACAGTTAAAATACACAAACAGTTACAAAGAATACTGTCAACAGATAGCTCCATCTGTTTCAAATAAAAAAGAACAAAGAAAAAGTAGAGAAATTATTTTAAAATGTTATAAAATTTTAAATGATCTTATCACAACTCGGTAATTGGAACTGGATACTTAGAAATAACTCTAAAATTCTGGTTTACCAGTGAAGGAGGTACATAGACAAGCGGTCTTTCTGGAATGGTGGTTTCTGGAGGTGGAGTAGGCTTCTTTGGTGTTACAGTATTGCTTCCAGGCATAGAAGAGTCATCGCTTGGCAGTATCAAACTGCTATAGTAGCTGTCGCCTTCATCTTCGTCTTCTGGAGCATCCGGAATTGGCAGCATACCATCAAAACGTTTCAGCAGACTCATATTACTTTTTGAAATTTCGTAATTCTTGTCAAACGACAATGGAGTGACAATATACGGCCTGCTGCAAGAAGGCAACTTGGGCAAGTTTTTTTGGTGTTTCCGCCTCAAGTAGATTACAGCAAGTATCACCGAAGTTAGACCAAAAAATACTGCAACCATCAACGTTAATTTACTTTCACTCTTCCACTCGGTACAAAATTTTCCCTAAAATTTCTGTTGTCAATAGTTAGAAAAAGCTTTCATTTGTCAATTTATATTTTTCAATTTTTGTTGAGACTAAACACTGTTTAACATCTCACTAGGAGTATCGTCAACAATGAAAAACTAAGGCGAAATAAAAGAGTAGGAATAGAAGAAAAAGCAAAGGGCATAGCGAGTGCATGAGAGAAGAGCCGAAAAGGAGTAATTCAAGTATAATCAAATGAGTATAGATGACATTAACCGATAATCACTTTAGCTTGCAACTACATTTCTTTTAACTTACCAAATCCGCAATCTTGCGATTCTCCAAACGTGACGGCGTTCTGCATACGATTTCCAAATTAAAACGTTTTACCACTCTTGGAAGGAACGACAACAATGTACAGTCACAGTCAAATTGATTACCAGATAAATTTAATGTGGTCAGTCTAAAAACGTACGCCAACTATTGATACTAAATCTGATTTAAAAATCTAAAAAAATGGCAACTCTTTGAAAAACAATTCGAATTCGTTAAAGTGAACATCAAGGGATCAAGTTTGAACAAGATATCAACATAAATGCCATCTCTCTCTAGAGCAAAAAACTATCTCTTTTAAAAACATGATATCAGTCAAACAACAGATACTTCTAAATTAAAGACAAACATACTTTGTCCACTGAACCAGCGACTGTTGCAGCTTTCGAAGGCTACAATTACTCAGATCTAAATGCCGCAGCTCATCGCTGTATTCGAAAGCATTCTCATTGATTTCTTCCAGCTGATTACAAGAGGACAGATTTAGTGTTTGAAGCTTCGGAAGACCAGAAAATGCGTTCAGCTAAAAAAATTACTGTTTTTGATGCTCAGAAGATGTGCATTTACAGCTTAAAATTGAAGCACAGCAAAGAGTAAATTGAAATCGTATATATTTATTCAAAAGCTTCATTTTAAAAGCTACTGTAAAAGTGGCTTAAATGAGAAGAACAAAGTTTGTAGTTGTACTGTCCAGTGATTTCTTAATTCCTTTAATTAACTCTACTAAATCAAAACGAAAAAATCAAAAAATTAGATAGAAAATTGTTTAAAAAAGTAGAGTTATAAAAGTTACCAAAAAATTTAAATAACTTTTGAATTATTTGAAATTTTTTAACCTTCCTCATCCTATAATCAAATGCTATTATGCCCCAGCTAGTTATTTAAAAATGAACATTCTAAAACCTATTTTAACTAAAAAATTTATACATCTGCAACCACAAACTCTGCGTAAACTATTGGCGGTAGGTAGAATAAAGAGTTTAAAACTTACTACAAATTATTATTGCGGAAATATAATTGAAAAATAAATTAGAAAATAAAAAAACGAAAAAGCATCATTATAATGCAATTTTCAGTAATAAAAAAAAAGAATTAAAGGTAAAGCAAAATAAAAGATACCTCAATTTTTTGCAATTTAGGTTCATGAGACAATATCAACCTTTTCAGCAATGGCAGTCTGTCAAAAGACGATGTACCGATTGCTGCCAATAAATTACGTGAGAGATCGACCTCTACCAATGTTGGAATTTTTCGAATTGCTGCAAACGCTCCTTCATCCAACTAAAATTTGTTTATCTTTAATCATCAAACGCAGATTACTTCCAATATTATTAAAGTTACCACACTTTAGCACTTTAGCAACAGATCCCGAATTTTGTAGTGAAAAAGCAATAGTTACAGAGTAAGCCTGTAAATAATGAAAAACCCGATGCGTGGTAAAGCATTAAAAAAAAATTCATTTTGGAAGTCAAAACTCCCAACTCAAAAACCAAATAATCCCGTTTATTGCTAACAACCAAAATAAAAAAATTGAATAAGAACCTGGTTATTGGAAAGATTTAACCTCTGAAGCGAAATCAGTCCACTGAATAGATCTTCATGAATAATGCTAAGAAAGTTGGACCCGAGACTAAGACTTTTTAATGATAAGCACTGTTGAAATGCGTCCCTTTGAATCTGAATTAAGCTTTGTTCCAATTTTACGCATAGTTCGTGCTGCACTTTTTCAAGAAAAACATGTGAGAGATTTGTTTGACTACTGACATATCAAAAATAGTGCATTGAATTTTTAAAAGATTATTCTGCTAAGCAAACAGTAATGCGCTGAGGAAACATGCAATAAAACTAACTTCTGAAATATAATTGGATGCGAGATCAAGAAGTTCAAGTTTTGGCAAAGAATTAAACACTTTAGAGTTTAGTTTGGATATCTGATTCGCCGAAAGAAGAAGTTTATAAAGCCGCCTGGTGCTTTCAAACAACAACGGATTCAACGATATCAGAAAATTACGTTCAAGCTTAAGCTTGACCAAGTTGCTCAGATCATGGAAAGCTTGCGGTTCAATTTCTTCAATTCGATTATCGCTTAGATCCAGATCCTAAAATCTGATAAGACATTTGCCAAAGATTTTTGCGAAACAGCAATAAGCCACTGCAATTTATACCAACGCAAAATCGACAATTCAGAGTGACACCGTCAAAAATAAATGAAAATCAATTTAACTCTCTCTGCAAAAGCTGATGCTCATCAACTATATAGTGATGCTCTTAAATTGAACAACTTAGTGTTAAAACTAAATCAGAAAAGCAAAGATACCAAAATCAGAATTTTAAGTTAAAACTCAAAACTCAAAAATTTCTTATTCCAAAGTCTTAACGCATATGTAAGTTTCAAAAAAAACTTTAATATAAAGCGTTTAAAAAATCTTTAGAAAATTTTGTGTTTACACAAAAATTAAATTTTTAGACTTTTATAAAAATATTTTTTGACAAATTTAAGGCAGTCCTGGTTGTCTGTTATCAGTTTCGACAGTGTAAACATTAAGTCGGTAACTAAACCATACGTCTGTCTATGCGTCAATTCATTGACTTTTTTGAATAAAATTGCTAACAGTTTTAAACCGTACTGTTTGGCTGATACTAAACAAAAAAAAACCTTATTGAGAAGTGTCGAACTAAATCTAAATGAAAAAAGAAAAAAAAAAGCTACTAAGACTAAAAGGGAACGAAAAACTGCAAACAGAAGAAAGCACTCAGTGAAGGCAAAAAGTGCTAAAATCGTCATGAAAAAAAATCAATTTGAACAAACAGTCAAACAAAAAAAATCTGACCTGAAGATTATACAGCCCAAAGAAGGCCCGATTTCTTATCAGAGTTAACTGATTTTTCTTCAGCTTTAATACACGCAAACTCAACTGATTTTGGAACAGCTCAGCATCCAAATCGTTGATTGAATTATTCGATACATCCAAAAATTCTAGATCTAGAAAAAAAAAATGTCCATATATAGTGTTAAAACTAGCCAAAAAATCAACAATTACCCTTTCTTTGCGCCCCACTCTTTCCGATTAATTTAAGTGTAATAACTGCTGCAAATGTCGAAAAAAAATTTTTGCAGCAGCTGAAAGAACTCAAAATATGTTTGATTTGTCATTATTGACCAAAAAAATAATTTTTTCTTTCAAAATCCAATGCTCATTTTCCCTGTATTCACAAATTCATATTCACAGTAAATTTATGGCCGACAAGGGCAGAAGAAATCCAAAATTAGACGCTTATTAATGTCTTTAAAACAAGAAACGCAAAAAAAAAGTACAAAAATAGTAGATAAAAGGTATAAATCACCCAAAAAAATAGCTGGTGATAACTAAAAACTCATAAATTCGTCAGCCGATTACCTGGGTAAAGTTGTAAAACATCTGGGTCAAGACGAGTAATTCCACAATTGCGGAGGCTTAATACCTTGATTCTTGGATTTAATAGCGCCGAAACATCGCCCAAATAAACGCCATCACAAATCACAGAATCTGTCCTCGAACCTTCCGTGCAGTTACAACCTCGTGGGCAGATGGTTTGAGCTGTTTCCAAGAAAACGAGGATCAACAAGTGCACCAGATGGCGCATTCCGCCGCAGTTTTCAAAGGCACTTCAGATTCTTCCAGGATTTTTAGTACCGCTAAAAAAAAAAAAA